GCGAAACAAGACGAACGTTTACGGTTGCGTTGACTCCGCTTTTATTTGCCCCACCGATGTACGGGCGTAACGTGTACCTACCCTTTCGCAGAGCACACGACGTGTTTCCGTTCAAATAAGGACGCATCACGATGTTACGGTGCAACTGGATGACACCCTCCAGCCATAAATAAAACTCTCTATAAAACCCACGGCGCCGTTAAACGGCGAGCTTATCCCACTACTGGCGCACATTGAGAGCGTCGACTTTTCTCGTGTTACGGTAACGCCGGAGTGTCCTTTATACGTCCGCCATTTGTAAACTCCGGTTAACACCCCGCGTAAAATTGTGCAAATGTAACGCGACGATTCTAATTCTAGTTTCCGGATAATTGGAGTGGAAATAAATATAAAAGGCCTCGTTATACCATTCTAAATGTGTGATCACGGTAAATAAGTTGAGCATTGGGGTTTTCCTTTGCTTTCCAGAGGATCGAAACGCAGGAGCGTCGTTTAAATGTCCGCCATTTTTTAAATCCGGTTAACACCGCGCGTCAAATTTTTGGCAAATGCAATGGAACGTTGCAATTTCATTTTCTGGATATTCGGAGTTGGAATAATTATCCAAAAGCTCGTTGCGTTGTTCTAGGTGGGTAATCACTGTAATGCAAATTCAGCGTCGGAGCTTTTCCCAGCTTTACAGCCGCCTTCAGAAATTTTCCCTTGACATCGCAAAATGACAAAGCTCTTGTGGCTTACTGATGTACTAGACGAGCAGTAATCCGATTACGTCCAGAAAATCATGCGATTAAGTGGCTCCGAGGATTTGCATACTCGCATGCAGTTTCCTGCAATTTGCATTTTGCAATGCGAAACAAAGCAGGAGATACGGATTCGAGGTGACAAGCAGGACGATCCACATCTAATCTCAAAAAACCCGTCCAAGTAATTTCTCGCCGTACTTAAGGTACTCTCGAATCCCGTACACTTGTACCAAAATTATCCGAGGCGGCATAAATTCTCTCGAAATTATCCAGAACGCCCTGGGGGATGAAATCACCCCAATATCCCGGCCTCAAAGACCGAGATGCTTAAAGATGAAAGACCAGGCTCGAAGCAATTTTCCGCGTTTTTGGCAACCTCTCCCGGCACTTTATCTCGGGATCAACTCGACTTCCTGGATGATCCAGGATCAAATACCGGGTCTATCACCCCATCCATATGTATCCTGCAAATGGTTTCTCCAGCACCGCCACCTCTCCAAAATGACCAAAATAGAAACACCAGAAATAACCTCATGCAATTCTTCGACCTAAAAATCGCCAAGGAGTCTTTAATCCCTAACCCTGAGGAAAAATCAAAGCCAGGAATTATTTATTGATACCGATCCAAGCCTGAAGAGAACGCCCGAAGATGAAAGGCGAAGCTGGAAGGCAATTTTCCGCCCTTTCGGCGGGATCTTCAAGGACCTTATCATCCCGATGGTCGGGGATACTGGGGATTATCCTGACAAGGATCGACTCCTAGGATCCATCGACTGCATCCATATGTATCCCACAAACGATTTCTTAGGAAGTGCCACAGTGATAGGAGATAGCAAAGGGGGCTAGGAGGGAGATGGAGGGGTAATTCGAAAGAGAAAACGTGATCCCGGACCAGATCCGGGATTTGTCTCAGCCATGTTCCCGTGGATACGACCGCAAAATGGGCCGGTGGATTTCGCAAAATAGATTTCAGAACTATCCTCTCAATTCCAGATATCCTATCGGATCGAGCCCTCCTTCTTCCCCTCTTTCCCATGAATTCCCTTTTTCTATTCGAACGTTGGCGGTGGACCGAGTTGTCTGTCCGAGGGGGATCCCTCGGGAGATGCTCCGAGATACCTCCGAAGGGGATGTTCTTCGAGGCCGCGTTTCTCCTTCAAAGAGGGTGTAATACGTCTTCGACCGACCCGATGAATCGAGAGGATTTTCGCCGGGATCGCCGAATCCTCAGGAAACATTTAACTCGAATTACTCTTCTCTGGGAGATATCGACTTGACGGATCGAGCAGCTCCTCCTTTGGGGCTCTTCCGGGAGTCGTCTTTTGCGCTCTTCGGGCAGGATCCTCTCCGTGGGAGAGAAATTACTCGGGGAATATTTCACATTCGAGTTTCCCGGGATCCCAAAGGAAAGGATGGAAAAGATATCGGGCGCGTATCGAGCCCGGAAGTGTCGCAGAATCCCCGGAACCCGACTTTACGTTTCCTCGCCAGGAACGCCGCGAGGCGGCACCGGAAGCGGTCGTTATTGGATCTCGAGAAAGCCTTTGGTATGTCGACACGTAGCTCGGAAAATTGCCGAGAATTCCTATTTGCATTTGGCCTAGACCGCGATCTGCTTTGAGGATCGACGAGGAAAAGTAAGGTGCTAGATATTTCCACCCCTTGGAAAGGAGAGAAGCGATTCCGAAATAAATTCTAAAAAAAATTAATATTCGGTATATATACATACAAAGATTCGGGAAAATAATTCTCCGAATCTTCGTTCATCTACTTCATATCAACCACTCTCTGTACATTCTAACGAGCGATCTAAGTACGCTCGAAATATTATCAGCGCACCCTTTTTATTAATTTTATATTTAATTACTGGCAATTATCTTTGTATTCTAGGGTGGAGACAATTTAAGTGAATCGAAGGTAACACAATTAGGAAATGAAAATAATTGTCCCGAGTACGTAAGGGGCAGTTGGAAATTTAGGAATAGCCTGTAAGGAGTTTCACTTTCAGCGTGGGTCGATTTTCGGGCCATTTTGTTTTTTCTTTCTTTTCTAGGCACAGGCAAAAGTATTAACAATTCCTCTCAGAAGGCAGGTCGTCCCCCAGGGTTCGTGACCATAAATTATTCCCGGAGGCCGATTAAAACTTTCCCCGCGAACGGGGCTTTCTTCGTGCCGGATCTGGAAAAGTTACGGGGGAGCTTACGGGGAAAAAGGCGACATCTTATCGGCATCCGCGTCCCGGAAACGTCCCGCGTTAACTCGGCCGCGAAAGGAACCGAACGGAAAGACAGTTTCGATTATCAGTCCCGGCGAGTCCGATTAATCGCCTTCCAGTTTAGCCGAGTTTCCCATTGAACATTCTCCCCTTATCAGTAAACATTGCCAAGACACGGCGAATTTCATTGAACCGCGCCGGTTACGGCGGCGTGTACCGTGAATTTTTCAATTTCCACTTACGGAGGGCCGACATTACTCACGGCCGAAGAAACAGGGATCCCTCCCTAGCTCGGGGAAATTGGCCCGAAATTTCCACCAAGAGACGTTCCGAACAGCCTACGTGGACCTAAAATATGCATCAAGGCAGACTCCCGTGGCCATTATCGCGCTTTGTCGAGGGATTTAGGAAAAGTCCCGGGGCTTAAAATTTAAACCGACGAGGGGTTTCCCCCGCGGAATTATACCGAATGTATATAATTCGCCCTAGACCGCCGAAAATTCGAACCCCATGAAATGGCAAAATAATCCGCGTATACGTTTAAGGAGGCGCGAGATATAATGCCGCGGGCAATTATTCCGGCTGCCATTATGCGGGGAAATTATTAGCGGTCCCATTTCCGGGATTGTCGCTCTTTGTCGCGGATCCGCGGATTCGTGGATTGTTAATTTAGCGAGCTTCCGACGAGGGGAGGTCAAATTGTCGTGCCATTTCGGATGCGACTACCGAGAAACGCGACCAGAGGATACGGCAAGTACAATTACGGGAATTGCGCGTGCGAACAAAAATGGAACCTCCATCGGGAAGTCGGTGGCATTTCGTGGCCTGAATATTTACGCCCGAGCTCGGCTGCTGCAAATAATAACAGTACAGCTTCCGGAGTACTCCGAGGACATTGCACGCGAGCTAAGCGAAATCAGTTTAATCCGCAAAGACAACGTTTGAGAGCAAAGCGCGAAAGCAGTTCGCCGGAATGCTCGGAGAAACTTCTCTCTAGATGGTAAAATTGCAGAATTACATCCGATTCCATTCCCTAGGAATTACTTTCCATTTCGCAGCTACGCGACTGTTCTGCTGCAACCATGCGCTTGCATTTAATTTCGCAATGTCTTGCAGGATTTATTTTTAAGGATTTTCAGATTAAGATACCCCACAGTAAGCGATTTTCGAAACTACTCTCTAGCTGGTAAAATTGCAGAATTACATCCGATTCCATTCCCTAGGAATTACTTTCCATTTCGCAGCTACGCGACTGTTCTGCTGCAACCATGCGCTTGCATTTAATTTCGCAATGTCTTGCAGGATTTATTTTTAAGGATTTTCAGATTAAGATACCCCACAGTATGCGATTTTCGAAAATTGCCGCCATAAGGTTAGTGGTCCCCTAATTTGATATGATCTTGCGAGAGATTAGTGAGTGAATGCGACGATAAGAAATTCTTCCCCTGATAAACTGCATTTTTTACGCACCCCTCAATCTAGACAAAGCACTATCACGGATTTCAGAAAATCCGGGCGCGATCGGATTTACGTGCGCAATGTTATGACGCCTCCACGGGTATGCTATTAATAACACGCGGACTCTAAAATTAGCGTAATAACATCCGCGGTCTGAATGGTAATTTACATGCATAATGGAGCCTCGGTTAATTGGAATACCGGTTATCCGGATGCAAAGTACCGACTAAAAGTTCGATCATTCCGAGGTACGAATGCGCGATTTTACGCGGTGGCCCCGTAAATCGGCGATAGGCGGTATTTTTCACCGTTTCAGCGGATTTTCGCAGGAGATAAATTTAACCGACGTCGAATTTACGACGGGAAAAAAAAAAGCAATGGCCGCAATGACGCGGGAAGAACGCACGAAAATGGACGCACTTCGTGCCGAAGACCATTCGAGGGTGTACAACAGGAAAGCCTGGTCCTACGATGGCCAGAATGGTGTCGATCAATTTCTCCCACTAATTAAACCATACTTGATGAACTTTCAATTGAGTATATATAAACTACAGCCGTGATTTCTAGGAAAATCCTGATTTCAGGTACATGGCGATCATGAACCCCCTGAAACCGCGGATGGGGAAGAGGGCGACGCTCTGCATCGCGGTGGCGATTTGGGTGGTGGGTGCAATCCTCTCGTTACCGATGTTGCTCTTCTACAAGACGTTCACCCAAAACTTTGTCAATGGAGAGGTCCGAGTGATCTGCTACAGCGATTGGCCGAACAAGAGCGACGACGGCCTCAGCTACGACGAGTATCTGTAAGTATGTTTCGCAGGGTATACAAACGAAATTACCGATATGACTACATACGTTATATATTTTGACCTCGTCTACACGAACTAACCCTACAAAAACGCACATAAATGTATATTTAAGGGTCAACTGAAAATTCGTTGACCCCACTTCGTCTTAAATTCTCGTCCTACGTTCATGCGATTTATTAGGTCGAGGAATAATTTGCTGCTGTTTTCAATGTGTCGTAATGTAATTAAAACGGCGGGAACTTATTCCTCAATCCTAATATATGAGATAAAATTTTCCACGCGGGCCAGGACCTTCAAGATTGGTCCAGCGGATGATGGGAGAATAGAATCTCAACCAGACACCGAGAGTTAATACCCAACGCATAACTGCCAACCCAGAATCGACACTCATAAACCCTTAACACCTGCTGTATCCTCCAGGTTAACGCACGCTTTAACGAGCACCCTCGGTGAGACCCTTACACGAGGTGCACATCCCCCAGGAATCACCTTTACTCTCTCAAAGGGGTAGTCTTTGTCATCGAACCTTCCTTAAGCGTTCCTAATGACAAGAGGATCGCGTGTGAATTTTTCCTGATTTTTTGTCCGACTTATGTGTCGATTATGGAACCGATTGGAAGCCCATTCTAGCTCCATGTTCGCCGTTGCCGAGGTTTGGAATTTGTTTATTGGAATTATTTATAGTTTAATGAAGGGATGATCAGATTACCTGTATAAATCCTGGACTAATCGCTGTCCAACTAGCTCTGGTGTGTGCATTATGATCTCCCCGAGATCGTAAAGCCCTTATAGAGCGACCCTATTCTACCTCGTTGATAGTCGCCCTACATGGTGGGCTCGGATTAAATCGCCCCGTAAATCGTTTACGATGGACCCGGGTTTGCCTTCTGCTTCGCCGAGATGCTAGGATCCTTCTGAGAATTCCTTGGTTTAAAAATAAAAATTTTTTAACTACCTTCCACCTACTAAAATGCTCCCTTTTGTGAGTTAAAAATTCCCTTGATAACGCATTCAATGCCTATTCAGTCAATGCGATTTTATATCAAATCGAGAATATTTAGTAAAATCTTGGACTTGGCGTACCTTCTTTTTTCAGAAAAATATAAGGGGGCAGGATTTTTAATTTTTGGGGTGAAGACTTTTCTTTTCCCCTCCAGACAATTGACAATATTCAGGTGATTTTAGTTTCGCTTCTCTGCGGGTTTCGAGTGCCTCTGTTTCCGAAGGTCGATTTCGATCCTGCAGCTAATGAAAACCCTCTCGATATTCGAGTAACTCGTATTAGTGAGAGTTTACTACGAGATTCCATGCCCGGACTAACTTATTTAGAATTCGGTGCGACAGCCACTCCGAAGTAAACGCGAGATCCTTCGAGGGAAGCCCGAGGCTCCCAAAGTCCTGTCCCCGATCCGGGATTCACTCAAGGATAAATTTTTCCAAGTCCCTATGCACACGGAAGAGGAGAAAACCCACAAACCAGGAGATACTTCTCTCTCAAGCTCCCCGAATTTCCAAAAAGAATCAACAGATAAAACGAGAAAATCTAAAGTTCCTCGTAAGAATTTCTCTCCCAAAACTGATATTTCTCAATAAACTTGACATGACCTTCCGCAATGGCCAAATTAATAAAAGAATATCAATTATGGATATTGAAAACCGCGTTAATCTTATCTGGGAGAACTCAGAGAGGCGCTGATCAGCGTTTCCGAATTTCGAGGTCGAGTACAGGATTTTCCCGAGGTCGGTGGTTAAACCTGCTCCGAGTAATCATCCCGGAATGATAAAAAGTAAAGATCATCCGGTTAGAAGTGGGACTTCGAAATTGAGAGCCCTTAAGCTCCTGCAATCCTAATATCCCCTTCGAGTCTCGTCTCTTCCACTCAATCCCAAATTACGGTTAAGCCGATCCGCACTCGTTACAGCCACGCTTACCTAAGTACAGGACCCTCGGTGCAGTAGGGATCGATACAGTCACTACCAAATTTATAGACCCGTTCCAAACAACCTGTGCGACCGAAAACCCCTGAAAAATTTCAACCCCCTCCAGCTTACCGAAAGCCGTCCAACAAAAATGGGTAAAAAAACAAGACCCTCGATTAACTATAAATAAAGTGAATAAAAAAGATGTTTCCGATTCTTCAACACTGAAATCACTCTTAACGATTAATTTCGCGTCTCATTCTCCTGGGAAAATTAATAACCTTCCTTGGGGCGCTTTTAACTGTAATAATTACCAGGGTTTGTACATCCGGTATTGCTTCACATGAAGTTACCAAAATGGCCCCTTTATCGTGTTTTTTCGTGGCCTGAAAATTGAAAGAGACAGTCAATGGATGTCCCGATAGGTCGAATTCTCCCTGGAATTTCTCAAATGAACTCAAGAGGTGTCCCGACCCGCGTTGGACAATTTAATTAGGTAGGACGATTTGTCGCCGGGCTGTAATTAATTTCACCATGGAACGAAGTCGAGACGAGCGGTAGCGTTAGAGCGCCGGATTCCCTCGAAAGCCTCGAGAGAAACACCACGAAGCTCGGCTCCTTGTCCAACTTTCTCACTAATTCATTCTCCTCGTTCCTCCTGGAGGAGCTGATTACCCGCAATGCCTTCCCTAATCATTGGATTAACGAGCGTACCTGAAAGCACGCACATTGCGCGCAATTTCCAACCCCTTTACGGCGAGTCCAAGGGAGAGGGACGAATCGATCACGTTAATCGGCACGCGATATGCAGATCAGGTACCTACCTCGTAACAAGGGCAATTTTTAATTAATAACAGTAATTTTTATCGGGGATAGAGGAGCGATAACAAGATCCAGCCTCTACCTCGAACACCTGGTTCAATCTCAGGTGTTACTTCAAATTGAACTCACGTGGGTCTCACTTACCTCGTTTACAGGTACAACGTGATATTCATGATACTGACGTACTTCTTGCCAATCGGGTCCATGACGTTCACGTATGCAAGAGTCGGCCTCGAGCTTTGGGGCTCTCAGAGCATCGGCGAAGCGACGCAGAGACAACTCGACAACATCCGCAGTAAACGGCGGGTGAGTACATTTCCGACACCTGAGACAGATAAAAAGTGGGATTAAAAAAAAACGTAGAGTATTAACAGACTCTAGGAAATATGTATAACTGGTCGCCTCCGGACTGAAACTTTGCAATTGAAAAAGTTATTAGATATAGTTAACCGCCCCTAATTAATCCTTCACGAAACCCCCTTACGCGTTCGAGACTGATCGCCTTGGATATGATTATTTATTCCATTTTACGTGGGAATAAGTAACGTTAAAAAAATGACCTAGGTCCTGACGCACAAGGATGGATGTAATAATTAACTAAATTCACTCGTGGTACCGTAGGAAATTTAATTTGAAAAATAGCAGAAAAGGAAATAGGGCGATTCCGAGCGAGCACTTTGGTGGGTATTCGAAGGGTAGGATGTGTTTCCATTTTTTAAGGAATTTTAATAAGCGGTACCTTACCAGCTGACAGCGATAGTCGGTATTTCGGCGCGTTTAGGGTGGAGGCGCGTTTCAAGGGAATGCCCATAAAAGATCCGGATCCGGGGTTCATCCCCTGCACGCACTTTGGCAAAAGTTTCGAGGGCGAAAGTGTGTCCCCCCTTAAACGACGGTTTCGCCAGATCAACCAGCCTGGAAATCGTCCCGACGTCATCCGTCGTTTTACCAGACGCTCTCCCTCCATTGGCAATCCTGGCCGCACGTAAGGGAAACTGTATAAACGAGGCCGCAATTAATTAACTTTACGCAATTTCCTCTCATCCTCTCCGCAAGGCGTGGTTACGTGTAGTACGCGTTCACCAGGATAAAGGAGAACACGGGGAGAATTTCGGGTCTTTACCGCGGAAATAAGCCCTTGTTTCGGAACCCCATTAAATTCGTTTACGCCGTAAATAAACACCTCCTTTCCCGAATTTTGGGGATTTTTTTTCCCCCAGGCAAAAGGAAAACAAATACGTTTCGACTTCACGCTAATGTAAGGTCTCCTTATAGGTGCTGAAACGAGCGCTCCCCTTTGAGTACGTTTCCACCCCTGAGGAATTAACTTCCCCATTTAAGTTTCCTCCGAATTTCCAGCACGAGGTTTCGGGAAAATATTCCTCAAATTTTGGAAACGGATTGCTCGTTTCTTTTATGCGCTTCGTGGGGCGAAAGAGGAACGATCGGATGTCTCGCGCCCCGTATCTCGTCTCGACGTGGCGCGGTTCTCCTTTTCTTCGGGAAATTGTTTTCCCACTTTTCCCGGGGGACGCGGACGGCGTTAGGAAGTTATCGCCCGGGAAGACGTTAACTCGCGATATTGCGAGTCGAGCTGGACTCGTAAAACCCGACTTTTCATTATTACTTTACTGCATAAGGCGACCGAGCGCGATACCATTAAGCCACCGATGCGTGCGATCGGCCGATGATTAGTCGGCGATGGATCGATAGCGGATCGATAGTTCGAAATTTCCACAGACGTTCCTCTCCGAATGACTTAATCTCATTCCAAAATAAAAATTAACCAGGATAAAAAATATTGACAGGTCGTAATAATTTTTTTCTCCTATATACAAATCTGATTAGACCTGAGTTATGGATTTCTATCGAGGTACAAGGATTGACCGATGATCATTCGGCGATGGATCGATATTTCGAAATTTCCACAGGGGATCCTCTCCGAATGACTTAATCTCATTAAAAAATAAAAATTAACCAGAGTAAAAAATTCTGACAGGTCATAATTATTGTTTTTCATGTATAAGAGTAGTATGGTTCGACTAAAGTCGAGAATCTTTATCGAGGTACAAGGCTTTGGTCCCGAGGGAAGTTCGAAAAATGACGCGGGTCGTCGGGACGCCCCAGGCGTCCACAGGTGCGAGTTCCTGTAACGAGAAGGGAGTTCAAACGTTAAACCACGGTGTAACTTCTAATTAGATGATCCCGAGGCCCGTCTAAGGGCGAAGAAGGCTCCCTCGGCATCGCTTCTTGCACTTGTCTTAATAAACGATCTCGCCCACGCCCAGCCAGCCCTCGCATATTCCCTGCTACTTGTGGCCCCGCAATCCCCCGAAAAAGAGGACGGCTGTTTTATATTAAAATTTCAGAGAAGCCCGCCGAAAGGCCGGGGCAAAACAAATCCCGACACGTCCGCGATATTTATTACAGCCCGAGATAAAATTCGCCGTCGATCCCTGCGATCCAGAATCCTGGATAAATTCCAACGCACGTCCAATCGGCGAAAAAAAAAAACCAAGAAATAAATCGAGACGTTAGGACGAGACACTTGATTTCCTTTAACCGGGAAAAAAAGAAATCGAATCGGGGGAAATTTAAACGTACGATGCAAAAATTCGGCATGGTTAACGTTCGACCCGAACTCTGTGAAGAAAGGTCTGCGTTTGCATTCGCTTGTTGTGCCATTTCTTCGCCTCGGCCATCCCCTGAATATTTTCGCACATGAACGCCCCCGCAATCCTCGTGGAAACGCGATAGCTCTTTCCTTCTGAAATTTCAAACACCCCCGCTTTGCGTCGTTGTCGATAAAAGGCTGAGAAAGGATCCCAAAAATGGACAAAGACTCGGCCGAGACGTTTATTCGACGGCCGAAATATTCGATTATTGGCCTTGGCGTCCAAAGAGGCACCGCCCTCGACGAAAAGCGTCTGAATTATTTTTAAAGATATCTCAGGGAGATTTGCCGTGGGTGGAAATTATGGCAGATTCGATAATCCAATTTGTATCTCCGAAACGGGCGTCTCGGTTGATGTAGAAAAATGTGGAATTAATTGTTTAGAATCGTTACACGTTTTATGCAACATGTCCTGATCGAGGCGGTCTTTTCCTTCCGATTTACGTCATTTAACCGCGGGTCGATGTGGAAATGTCGATTGACAATTGAAATGAATTAGCCTCGGGACAATGGCCGAAAGGCTGCGATCTGCCGTTCGAGATTCTAATTTATTCCTCCGGCGAAGAATTAATGCACGTCAACATACGCGTGCCTCGAGGACCGGTGGTAAATTCCGTCCCTCCGCGAAGTTACCGACACGTCCTGCATATTATCGCTTCCGATTTGCATGTTACGAAATGCCATAAATAATTCAATAAGGGAATCGTCCTGTATAACGACTCGTTGCAATTCTCAAGACCTAGTCGCGCAAGACTCGATAATGGTATAAAAAATGATGAATGCCGCTTTCCGAAACGATATAGAAGAGAAATGGAATTTTGCAAACCATGGTCATTAGTAAATGCCAACAATCGAGATCCCTGAGAAAAGAATTTCGATTCCCCGTGATAAACAATCTGCCACGGGGAACGTAATTAATTTTTTTCCCGGCGAAATTGATTAAGAAAGAGAAAGAGAGAGCGAGAAAAAAAATGAGCTCTCCATTGAGTTCCCGTTCCACCTTCGCAAAATAAACGCGATAGCTCGATTCTTGCCAGCCTCGCGAAATTGTAGTTTCAAGGTTCTTCAAGGAAACTACGGTTGCATGCATTCGCTAGTTAAATTAAATTGCTTATACGCGATTAAAGGGGGACGCTGGTAATTGGGACCGGCAATGCAGTCGAAGTGAACATTTCGCCTGCGTTGTTGCTCGAATAAGAAAAAGTAAACTCTTCCTTCGAAGAAGGTCGACGCAAATGGCGGGGAGGAAATGTTAATAAATATTAGCGAAATCGACGTAAGGGCCTCCTTACGTTTAGGGATGAGATCCCTCCTCAGCCCTAATTAAGTACTGTCCAAAAAAATCGATGTACTCATTTCTACTTCACGAAAAATTACAGCATTGCCGTATATTGTCGTGGATTGCCGTATACTAAGCGGAATAATTTTCAGAAGTTTGTTTGTATTTTTTTTTCTCTGTTTTTATATATTATCTCTCTCAGCCCGGTATAGTCGGCTTCTTTTCCCGGGTGAGACTTCTCTACCCTCAAATATGCAATCCGCCGAGTAAGCAGCTATCTAGGAACGCAAAGGGGCGTGTAAAAGTTATCTTTAACAGGAGGCCAATCGCTTTTACAGTTACGGCCTGAAAGACGAGTAGAGATGTTCGCCAAGGGTTGGCGGCGACATGCAATGTCACCCTCGGGACTCGTCGTCCTGGTGCAAACTTTGCGGAATTTCGGTCCCCCCTAATTTCACGAAACATCCGGAACACGAGACCGATGCAAATATCCAGGAATTCATGGAAATGGGCTTGCAAATATTTTCTTCCTCGTCTAATTTTACCACCTTCCGTTGACTAATTAATTAAACCATTTCGGACCTGTCCTTAAAAGATACCTTAACACCCTTCAATGCCACTTTCCAATGACTCGATGATTGATTACAATAATCACGTATCCACGCATGACCAAAATATTTCTATACGCGTATTTCATATGTAATTCCACGTCCTATCTGTAAATTTATTTTAAATGGGGAAATTATGAACGTAGCCTTACATATGCCAAATATATTCCACTTTTTCACAATGACTCTAATTAATTAATTAATTAATTACACTGGTACAGTCTCAAAATCTAGAGACACCCTCGCTTACTTCATTGCCGGTTTCCAATTACTCGATGCCCCATCGATATTAATAACCACGTGTCCACGTACCACAAGGGGTAGATTCGCCGGCGGATTAGGGGACGAATTTTTGCAACCGCCCTCGTTCGCGAAATTATCCCGTCCATTTAGCGAGTGTTCCAGCGATTCGGCCATTAATGTAACGAGGTTAACGGAGACTTACGGAACGGTGCATAGGATGCGCATTATCCTTCCCCGTTTCCGCGAATCGCGCGAATTTGCGGGTCCGCTTTGTTATGACGTGCGATCACGCAAATACCGGGGGCTACGCATTCGCGAGCCGAAATTCCATCAGAAGCCAAATCGGCCGAGCAATTTCATTGCAATTAGCCAGGCGGGCTCGTTGAAATTTTTCGCGGTGTAACAGTCGACGGAATTATCCCCAGGAACCATGGCCATCCCCTAAACGACCAAGGGATGCGAAAATCGAAGCTGTCGCGTCGAATGTAATTTTCCCGGCCAA